GCTGTCATTCTAGTAACAGTTTTACCTACCTAAGAAACTCAAGATGGGGCCAAATTTCCCTGCATAATGATTTCACAGTAAGTGGCAACCAGATGGACAGCACACTGCCATATGCTCCCCTTTGCTCAGAGGTGGAAAAGTGAGCAAATGTGAATCAGAAAAAAAAAAACCAGAGAGCAGGGAGAAAAATCTCTCTGCAGCGTGCCCGTTAATTCATGCACACACCCTTTCCTACCAGGAGCACGCTCAAACTTCTCTGCTCCTCGCACCTTGGGATCCAAATTCCCGGGAGGCAATGCTGAGGGGCAGCTGGGGAACAGCTGCTGTCTCCAGCACGGCCCCTGCCAGGCAGGTCCCTGCCTGTGCCACAGCCAGCAGTGCTGCTTTCCTAAGGAGAGCAATTGTTCAAGCACAAGGAGAAGAACCAGCATCACCCCGGCCCTGACACAGTGATGGGAGCACCATCCCTCCCCAGGGCCAGCCCCTCTGGAAGCTGGTACTCTCTCCAGTGCAGCCCAGAGGCTCAGAAACTCTGCCCACTCTGCAGCCTCCTCTCCATGTTTTTTTTGGCCCAGAGATAACACGTCAAAAACTTTTAAGCAAACCTTGACGCTGCCCACGTCTTGTGTTGCTCTTTAGCTGGAGCAATCTGGCCATACTATAATGTCTCCAAGGAGTACCTGCCCTTTTGAGCCAGTCCTAAAAATAACACCTTTCCAAGTTAAACATATCTATTCAATTACACTACTGCCCCTGCTCTGAAAGTCCTTCTTCTTATGAAAAAAAAAAACCCAAAAGAGCATTCAGATTTCTGGAGGTGGCAGCTGGTAACAAGAAAAACAGCAAATATGTGCAAGAAAAATCTTTGAGATTGATTTTTTTTTGTGCAATTAATGTGTGAACTTTGACCCATATCTCACTTTCCCGTTAAAAAGTTGTTTTCAAAGTTGTCTAGTTTTATCATACCAGATAAGAACGTAATTATTTACTCTATGTGGGTTGTAAAATTCAGGCAGCTATTATATACAGAGAAAAATTATGGACTGCTTGCTGAGACACACCACATGCCTCATGTTTACATCCCGTATGTTTGCTAACTTTAATTATTACAGACAGGAGCTCTTTCCTTCATTTTAAGAAGAGCTTTCTTTACATTTGTGCCATCAGCTAAATTGACTGGTAGTCCAAATGGTGTGCTTTTCTGTAAGAAATTATTTGATAAACTTGAACAAAAGCATTGAAGGCAAAATGACAAAATAATTCAATAGCAAAAGTCTCACCAACTTCAATAAAACTTGCATTTTGCTATTTTTAGACATGAATTTTCATTTTCTATTAGTGGAAAAAGCTGGTAGGCACACTTAGATATCAGACACATAACACTTTCCACTACAAAGACTTTCACAACTTTTTTGAGAAGCTCTGACACTTGCCTCGTTTGCAGGCAGCCTTTGAAGTTCCCTGGAATAGCAGAGATGCTCTTTGTCTCATGGCAATCCATTCAAGTTAAACTGAACTGTTTTCTTATGCCTGATTGCTTTTTTTTAATCAAGTGTTTGGTGGCCTCTCAAAAAAACAAAAAAGAACCCAAATGGGCATGAACTGTCCACAAAGGCTGGGCACCTGTACCTCAGAGAGAACAGAGGCAGGCAGGGGGCTGAAGCTGAAAAGCAGAGTGGCAGGACAGAAAGAAGGATGGAAGAGGTCACACTTCACCCGTTGTTTCCCCAGACAGAACACACAACCCAGGAGTCCTTCCCTCATTCATCAAATAACAACCTTACCAAGTAAGGCAATTACCTGAATTAGAAATCACCACCGAAGGCTCAAATCCCATTTAGGGATTTTTTTAAGGTCGACAGGGGAAGTTTATACCTCCAGGTAACATCATTAAAAAGAAAAAGCAAAACCGAAAAAGAAAGGGACTAAACCTCACAATACCAAGAGGTTCTGTGTGAGAAACTAATTTGCAAGAAGGTTACTTGGGTTGAAATCAAAGCTCTTGAAAACTAGGAAGCAGCACACTTAAAACAGCATATGTCTTTAGCTCCATTTGCATTAATCCTCTTCGTAACTGTTAAGATCACATACTATTTTTCCTGAAAATTGTTGGCTCTCTGATACCAGAGTGGCTCACAACACAGAACTGTATCTGCAGAACCCCAAATCAAACATCTGCTGACTTACAAGTCTGATTTTGCACCAGCATATTTGAACATACATTTCAAATGTAGTTTCATTTGTGTGCAATGCCATAGGGGCGTGTGGTGCTTCACAGGATGCAAAGATACAATAATTGCCACAAAGAAATTTTAGTTGAAACACATCAAAGAAACAATGAACCCTAGACAAGATAAAATGAAAGAATGAAAATGAGACAGGGAGAACCTGTTCATGCTGAAAATATTATTATTTTGAATAAAGCAAGGGATAAGCTGATACTGTATTTTATAATGCTTAGTCAAAGACAAAAGAATGATTAGAAAACCTCCATTGCTGCTTGAGTTTACAAGAAGGCCTGTCTTCACTCTCCTCATGCAAAAACAGCAATTTCAACAGGATTGTATGGAGGTAACAGAGCTCATTGGGAACTCATAACTAAATTAAGAATTAAACCCTAATACATCACACCTGTCACACCAAATCCTCAGCCCAGCACACAGGTGGGCTGAACTATGACAGAGGCTGAAGTAACCCTGCCACCTTCACCCAGCTGCTGCCCACAATGCACCACCCAAGAATTTGGTGGAAGAAAGGCTTCAGTTCACCTTGGGCAGGAACCTCTAGAGCCAAAGAACAAACAACAGCCACGTTCTACCCCACAGTAATGAGAAATCAACTTTAACCATTTTTCTCTTGAAGACAGCACTTCAACAAGTATGCTCATGTCCACCTATACTACAAAGATACTCCCAAAAGTACTGTCAGAGTTCAGAAATTTTTTCCAAGTCAAAAAATCTCAAACTCTCCATTTCCCAACACCACAGATTCCAGACTTACCCCTCATGTTATGAAAGCCAAAACAAGTGTGGCAAACATTTCACCAGCACACAGTATCACTCTAGAACCAGTGAGGAGAGGAAAAGTAGGAATCAAACCTCAGTCTTCCTCTCATATACCAACTAGCAACGATGATTCTTCAAATAGCATATACTTGACACTTCTGATGATAATACATGCAGCAGAAAGGACTCCAGCTCCCTCTCCTATGTCAATATTGGTTCTGCAGTGCTCGTAAGGATTAAGTATTTTGACTGTTAGGTAATCCCATTGTCCAGGAAGCAGATTAGCTCAGCACCACTATATGGAAATAACACCTCGTTTTTGCTCAGATAGAGTATGCAGATAGTTTTATACTGCATAACACAATTCAATTAATTGTTGTGCTATTGCCAGGTAACGCAACTAATTTAAACAGATACTGATGATACAGGTAAATTTTAGTCATGTCAGGATCTCGAAGGGCAATGCAGTTCCTCCTCCTGATTGGGACATAATCCCGTGTAACAACACTGGAACCATGGGCTTCATCGTGCTGGGGGTTTTGTGAGTCCTGTCCTCTGTGCCCAAAGTGATCTGTGATGCAACATCACTGCAGAGTCAGACTCCGCAGTACAGAGACCATGAGAGGTGGAACAGCAGCTGCCAGGGATCCAGGGTTTGGGGAGTCACCACTGACCCCCAGCTGCAGTAACAGCACAACAGTACTGGGGGCCGGGAGAGGGGAAGTGTGGTGAGCATCTTGGACAGGACACCTTCAGAGCTGTAATCATGCCTACACCCAACTAACCTTTGGGAACAGACACAGTGACAGGGAAAACAGCTACACCGCGTGCTATGTTCTGCATTTATGCTGTCAGTCACAATCTGAAAATACCTGAGCGGAGTAGCAGGCTTGCACTGGTGCTCACATTGCAAAGCATACACAGCTCACATCTTAATTTTCTTACTGACCTTTTCATACACCAGTTGGAGTCAAGATCTTTATCTCACCTACTATTCCAGTTCTGAAGCTGAAGTAGCTGATGTGTACTCTTGCTACTTGTTCTCTTTGTCCACTGCTGTCTTTAGCACAATTACTACCTGCTAACCACATCTAACTTTGTGTGCAACTTCCACCTCTTTTCACCCTTCAGGCAAAATCCCCACCTTGCACTGAACGAGTCAGTTTTGCAATCCAACGGGCAGCATCGGGACAGAGCTGCAAAAACTCCACTTTGTTCAGAAACATAGAGGAATGAGTATGAACTGCTTCAGGAATGGGCTCTTGGTTCACACAGTCTCTTCCCTGACTGCAAGCACACTCTTCCTGCATTTAGGAACCATAACACGTTTGAAGCAGGACACACTTGCTTCTTATTCCACATCCTCTGTAAATGAGAAGTATCCCCCCCTTCTCTGCACAGAGGAGACTGCCCCACAGTACAGACATTGTTCTCAA